CAATACAAGTAAGATTTAAAATTGCATTAACAGTTATAGCAGCATGTGTTTCTTTTTCAAACACGCATTCTGTTTTGAAACTTACAGGATGCCAATTTGATTTTCTTGGAGGATTATGAAAATGAGTACCTTGGCCTGGTAAGGGAGCTACCATTTGATTTTTATGGGGGGGGCTAGGATGAAAAATTTTGTCCTGCAATTTTTTTTAGTTGTAATCTCTGTCCTGCCTATTTATTTTTCACTCTTTTCGGTCCTGCCATTTTTTTTTATTAGTTTATCCTGACTTTTTTTACATAAATTGTCATCCTGCCTTTTTTTTTGGCAAAGTTGCTCATCCTGCCTTTTTTTTTACTCAAAACTCCTGTCCTGCCTTTTTTTTTAAAATTTCATCCTAACCCCTCCCATAAAAATCAAATGGTAGCTCCCTAAGAACTGAAAATAAATAACTGCACTAAACAGGATGAAAATGAATAACCTTCAGCACAAAATGCTTGAGACAAATATGTACAAAAGTGAAAATTTATTTTTCACGCGGAAAAAATAAGCAAATAAATGATCAATCCGAGAAAAAAAACCCTCCTAAGAATATCAAAAGGTTTCGTATTCCCCTTATACAGGTCTGGAACTTGACCTATATATCAGGTTTTATAGAAATGTGAAATAATAGTGTTTATAAATCTACATATGAAAATAATCAAATCTTAAACAAGATGCTAAATCAATTATTTTTTTTTATATGTTATAAGGAGAAAAAAGTACAACTAAAGCACGAAAGCACCCCTAAATGCAAAAAGTGTACCCGACTTACCCTTTCACGATAAGAATTAAGATTTCAGTATTTTAACAAACCCTCTCCAAGAGCAGATATCTAAATTAACGCTTTTATCAAATCAATCTTTACAATTTTCAACTGCAATAATTAGATGACAGCTGTACACGCATAATTTACATTTGTTTTTATTATCAAAATTTTATGACAGCTATGAAAAGATAAACTGATTTTTCATTTGTTCAATGTAAATTGACTACATTACAATTGCATCTCATATCTGATGTAAACTCGGATATATAGGAATTATAATGTAAAGTATAAAAATAATATAATTCGAATTGTCTTATTTATGGACACTTCATGAAACGTTTTTCTTCGGGTAAAATATTGACATAAAATGTATACATCTAGAAAACATGTATGTTTTTTTTTTACTGCTAGAGATCTAATAGGACTTTATAAAAATAAGGAGATGTGGTATGATTGCCAATGAGACAACTATCCACCAAGTTCAAATGAAATGGTTGTAAGCAATTACAGGCAACCATATGGCCTTCAACAATGATAAAAACCCATACCGTAGAGGCCCTGACATGAAAAATATGAAACAATTCAATTGCGAAAACTAACGGCCTAATTTATAACAAAACAATTTAAAAACAAATATAACAGACATGAACCAACGATAACCACTGAACTACAGGCTCCTGACTTGGGACAGGCACATAGTTAATGTTTGTGAGCACTCAACCCTCCAGCTAACCTGGGACAGTGTTGTTACAATAATTTTCTTGGGATCTGATGAACATTTTAGATTAATATCTTACAAGAAATGTAGGCATAAAAGTGTTTCCAAGACCTGACACCCGGTATTTCTATATCCCCAGCACCGTGTTGCATGGGGGACAAAAATGTAAGGTATAAAGGTAAAGTATGTGTTGGAAGCTTTGAGGGGCTAACTTTCATGAGAGGCATGGTATCTGGTGGAAGCTTTGAGGGGCTAACTTTCATGAGAGGCATGGTATCTGGTGGAAGCTTTTAGGGGCTAACTTTCATGAGAGGCATGGTATCTGGTGGAAGCTTTGAGGGGCTAACTTTCATGAGAGGCATGGTATCTGGTGGAAGCTTTGAGGGGCTAACTTTCATGAGAGGCATGGTATCTGGTGGAAGCTTTTAGGGGCTAACTTTCATGAGAGGCATGGTATCTGGTGGAAGCTTTTAGGGGCTAACTTTCATGAGAGGCATGGTATCTGGTGGAAGCTTTTAGGGGCTAACTTTCATGAGAGGCATGGTATCTGGTGGAAGCTTTTAGGGGCTAACTTTCATGAGAGGCATGGTATCTGGTAGAAGCTTTTAGGGGCTAACTTTCATGAGAGGCATGGTATCTGGTGGAAGCTTTTAGGGGCTAACTTTCATGAGAGGCATGGTATCTGGTGGAAGCTTTTAGGGGCTAACTTTCATGAGTGGCATCGTATCTGGTGGAATGTTTGATACTTTGATAAAAGTCATGTGATTTTTGGAGTCTATATGAATGGTAATATTCTGTAAGGTGTTATATTCATGTACATATATTATAACTTTTATTTCCATGTGAAGTCTATGTTTAAGCTTTTTGTACTTTCAGGTGTGCTAATGGTTTTGTTTGGCAACTTTGCTCTCTTTGAGATCTTTGTCATTTGAGGTTAACTTTTTTGCTCTGATCTGAAGGTTTTGGTCTGTTTTCCTTTCATATAAACTTTCGTCTCTTAGAAATGGTCAATTTTTATTTCAGAATTAATCGGCTAGTGAACTTAAAATATCTGTTTGAATCTTTCAACTTTCATGTAAGGTACTGTACCTTTGAGAAGACTTTTGTGTAAAGTACTGTTTTTTTTGTTGAAGCACTTACAATTCCATTAGTATGCCACATATAATATACTGAAGTAAACCATGTACAATGTTCCTTAATGTAGAGAAAGAATGACATCAGAAACAATGAGAATAATTTATATCTTTATTGTATATCAGCAGTAAATATATAACAACCTTTATTAACTAATCTGTTACAACTCACTGGCTACATATATCTATCACATGTAATATAATCTGATAATTCATTCTATATTCATTTTACCAAGTTTTTTTCCTGGTTCAACAAAGAAAACATTACAGGTACACAAAACACTTTTTAATTTCAGTGTATGTGCATGTGTGTGTGTGTAAATATCTATAAATTGTACATTAATAATTTGGACTACTTTCTTCAGTGTCAATTTTGTTCTGAAATCCAAATAACACATTATTCTATACCATATACTTCTTCAAGATGGAATAAGGTAAAGCAAGATGGAATAAGGTAAAGGGGAGTGGTTGGCTTTTTCTATGTTTAAAGTTGAAACAAAATAAAATCATATGTAACATGACTATCTGAAAATTAAATGAAATGATACATAGGATTTTCAAGCACATTTTAAAAGTCTTTCTGACCGCCATTTCAAAAAAAATAAAAAAAATGAGAATTTCAAGCTTCTTAGTTTAGTTTATTACATAACCCTAATCCTCTTATTAAGTTAATTTTATAACAGCATTCTTGTCAAATAGTACCTTAAAGTTTTTATTTTAACAACTTTCAATATTTTAAAGTTTTTGCATCAAACTCAATAAGCAAAAACTTCATAGCAAGTTTGGTATGACTCAATTTATTAAGTACAGGGAAATAAAAATGCACAATTGTACATGTTTAGCTCAAATCCCTATTCAATCTCCTTAAATTTACCAGCAGTTAGAATTTCACTTTAGTAATTACAGGATGAAAGTATGAAAATCAATATTACATAACCATTGTAGCGGGATGGTCAAAACGTGATCCACATGTTATTCAACATCGATCCTCTTTTTAAAATAAGTTTAGTTAAAATCATTCAATAATTTGAATCACTGTGTTTTGTTGCAAAGTAAACTGAATTATTAACATTTTCACAACCTTTTAAAATTTTGTTTTGAAACATAACAAGAGTCCACATGCTGAAATGTATGGCCTACTTAAATGATGTTGATCGAATTTTTATGTGGAACGTATTTAACATCAATGTTTTACTACAGGTTATCCATGAATAAATCAAGGTCATATAGTTGACCTACTGCTTATAGTGTCTGACTTGATCACAAAAAGACTTAACTTTGACCTTTAAACCATGACCTTGAGGTCAAGGTCATATTAACCCCTACCAACAGGCATATATACCATACAATCCTTCCATAGTATCCATGAAATAGACTTGACCAAGAAAACTAAATGCTGGTCACTTGTCCATGATGTCTTGTCTTTTGATGAAATCTTTGTTCATCAGCTTAAAATTTAATGAGCAAGAGGCAGCTTTGGTGTTGTGGAGACATTTCATCTTTAAAACATTTCAAAATACTCAAATCAATGCCTTAAGGGATAGATCTCTGGTGAGTATTTCATTTTTCTTTACACATTAATACATAAAAAATAACCATTTGTGTAAGAAGCAAATATGTTAAAGCCAAAATTAGAAGCTTAAGAAAATAAATATGTTTTCAATGTATATAGATACACACAGTGAACCCTATGAAGACTTACTTAAAATGTAAAATAATAAACTTGTTACACAAATCTGAACATAATAAAAATTGATATTTTACAAATTAACCCTTTTTTCTCCCATTAAAATAAAAATAGTCATTTTCTATCTTAAACTGACAAAACAATTGAAAATATATATATCTAGGTATAGTTTCTACAAGTATCAGACATCTGCTAACTTTTCAAGCTGATCAAAACCAACATTCTAATTTCCTTCCTACTTTCAGTTAATATAACTATAACTATCATTTCAAGCTAAACTTTCAAAATCATCTAAACTCATTTGTAATTTTTTATGTTTCTCATTAATGGTAATTTGTAATAGATATTTATCTAAAAGGTCTTAACATTTCCTCAGTAAAAATTATTTCTTACTTTTGTTGGCCAGTGAAATTCACAACTATTCAAAATCTTTTAAATAAAATTTTTGATAAGAAACAAAAAACAGCCTTCCTCTTGAAGAATCCTTTAGCCTATCAATTGCTGATAAGCAAATAGAAAATGTTTCAATTTGAAATTGAATTAAAATCAAAACTTCCGTAAATAGATAGAACATTTGAATCTCCAAATTACCATACATTTTTCATGAGTCTACAGAACAAACTATCATCTCAAAATATTATGACATTATAAGACACTCCAGTTGTTTAGGTTTGTTTTTATTTCCTTTGAATATCATGTTTGATTAATTGTATACAAATTTACTCAAGTTTAAATTACTGATACTCTTCTATACAATTCCCATGTATATATCACAAATATGGATTCTTGATTTCTTGGCTATAGTTCCTCATTATGGCACCATGTACATTTCCCTGTAATTCGGTGAACATTTACTAACGTGTATTATAAGTCAACAGTTAGTTCCTGTAATTCGGTGAACATTTATTAACGTGTATTATAAGTCAACAGTTAGTTCCTGTAATTCAGTGAACATTTATTAACGTGTATTATAAGTCAACAGTTAGTTCCTGTAATTTGGTGAACATTAATTAATTTGTATTATAAGTCAACAGTTAACAAAATATCAACAATTATAACACTTCCTTCATTTTTTGCATACCTTGAACAAAAAGCACTTTCTATAAAAATTTGGTTTTTGATATATAAATATTTTGGCATTATTATTAACTATAATCTGTTTCAATAAACCCAGCTTACAGGCACCCATTGAGGGGATGAACACACTTCGTCTATAGCTTGTTCTAAAGTTCTTATTGTTTCTTCAATGTCATTGTTCACTATTTTCAAGTCAAAATAATGTCCATAAGCCTTTTCTAAGAGATCACTTTCTGTAGCTAATTTTTCCAAACTGACATCCTGAAATAAAATATAAGACATTTATATCACAAAAGTATCAATACAAGTGGAAACAACCTATATATATGGTATTATCTCCCAAAAAGTCTTACAAAATAAAAATGATCAGAATAATATCCTAATTTATTACCCACAATTCTGTAATTTTGATGCAAAAAGGTAATTCATACCATCTTTTTTGTTACATAAATAAAAGCAACAGTCATGTCACAATTTAAAAAAAAAATCATCTTGAAGCAAAGAATCTTGTGTATGGTTATTACTCATATTTAACTATCTAGGACATTTTTTTTACTCTTTTTCTTACCATGCATTATGATTGGGAAATAATGGAAAATGATTATTCTGATACAAATTTGTTATTTGATGTAAAGTATTTTGTCTTCTTTTAATTTTTTTGCATGTTGTACTTGGTCTTTTAATTCCCTCTTATTGTTCAGTTATATTTTATCCTGTCTCATGATTTACCCCTTGGGGCTCCTACATGGTAAATTTCGATCTGCAACCTTGTGACCTGATGTCTCATTTAAAAAAGACACAAGTCCTTAAAAAATGTTCAAAACCAAGAATCAGATCAGTTTAGAACTCTCTGGTTTGCTTAAAAGTGACCTTAAGTAATTTTTAAACATGACCTTGTGTATTAAACGGGTACCCTACTGGAGAATTCTTATTGTTCTTTGTTATTAATGTTATTTTGTCTCATGATTCCCCGAAAATGTTCCCTGTTATATATGTTATTTTGTCTCATGAATTCCCCTAATTGTTCTCTCTTATATCCTATTCCATCTAATAAGTCACTGCTAATTATTGTCTGCAATGTGTTATTTTGTCTCAGAATTCACCCCTCATCATTGTCTGGCATGCACTATTTTGTCTCAGAATTCACCCCTCATCATTGTCTGGCATGCACTATTTTGTCTCAGAATTCACCCCTCATCATTGTCTGGCATGCACTATTTTGTCTCAGAATTCCCCCCTCATCTGACATCATTGTCTGGTATGTTTTATTTTGTCTCAGAATTCTACCCTCATTATTGTCTGGTATGTGTTATTTTGTCTCAGAATTCACCCCTCATCATTGTCTGGTATGTGCTATTTTGTCTCAGAATTCACCCTAATAATTGTCTGGTATGTGTTATTTTGTCTCAGAATTCTACCCTCGTTGTCTGGTATGTGGTATTTTTTCCAAGGATTCACCCCTAATCATTGTCTGATATGTGTTATTTTGTCTCAGAATTCACCCCTCATCATTGTCTGGTATGTGCTATTTTGTCTCAGAATTCACCCTAATTATTGTCTTGTATGTGGTATTTGTACCTTTGATAACTATTGTCTCAGAATTCTACCCTCATTATTATCTGGTATGTGGTATTCTTTCTCAGGATTCACCCCTCATCATTGTCTGGTATGTGTTATTTTGTCTCAGAATTCACCCTTATCATTGTCTGGTATGTTTTATTTTGTCTCAGAATTCTACCCTCATTATTGTCTGGTATGTGCTATTTTGTCTCAGAATTCACCCCTCATCATTGTCTGGTATGTGCTATTTTGTCTCAGAATTCACCCCTCATTATTGTCTGGTATGTGTTATTTTGTCTCAGAATTCTACCCTCATCATTGTCTGGTATGTGTTATTTTGTCTCAGAATTCACCCCTCAACATTGTCTGGTAAGTACATTTTGTCTCAGAATTCTACCCTCATTATTGTCTGGTATGTGTTATTTTGTCTCAGAATTCACCCCTCATCATTGTCTGGTATATGCTATTTTGTCTCAGAATTCACCCTAATCATTGTCTGGTATGTGTTATTTTGTCTCAGAATTCTACCCTCATTGTCTGGTATGTGTTATTTTGTCTCAGGATTCACCCCTCATTATTGTCTGGTATGTGTTATTTTGTCTCAGAATTCACCTCTCATCATTGTCTGGTATGTGTTGTTTTGTCTCAGGATTCACTCTAATTATTGTCTGGTATGTGGTATTTGTACCTTTGATAACTATTGTCATAGAATTCTACCTCATTATTGTCTGGTATGTGGAATTTTCTCAGGATTCACCCCTCATCATTGTCTGGTATGTGTTATTTTGTCTCAGAATTCACCACTTATCATTGTCTGGTATGTGTTATTTTGTCTCAGAATTCACCCTAATCATTGTCTGGTATGGGTTATTTTGTCTCAGAATTCTACCCTCATTATTGTCTGGTATGTGCTATTTTGTCTCAGAATTCACCCCTCATTATTGTCTGGTTTGTGTTATTTTGTCTGTCTGGTATGTGTTATTATGTCTCAGAATTCGCCCATCATTGTCTGGTTTGTGCTATTTTGTCTCAGGATTCACCCCTCATCATTGTCTGGCATGCACTATTTTGTCTCAGAATTCACCCTAATCATTGTCTGGTATGTGTTATTTTGTCTCAGGATTCACCCCTCATTATTGTCTGGTATGTGGTCTTTTTTCTCAGAATTCACCCCTCATCATTGTCTGGTATGTGTTATTTTGTCTCAGAATTCTACCCTCATTATTGTCTTGTATGTGTTATTTTGTCTCAGAATTCACCCCTCATCATTGTCTGGTATGTGCTATTTTGTCTCAGAATTCACCCTAATCATTGTCTGGTATGTGTTATTTTGTCTCAGAATTCTACCCTCATTATTGTCTGGTATGTGTTATTTTGTCTCAGAATTCACCCCTCATCATTGTCTGGTATGTGATACTTTCTCTCAGAATACTCTCTAATCATTGTCTGGTATGGGTTATTTTGTCTCAGAATTCTACCCTCATTATTGTCTGGTATGTGCTATTTTGTCTCAGAATTCACCCCTCATTATTGTCTGGTATGTGTTATTTTGTCTGTGTCTGGTATGTGTTATTTTGTCTCAGAATTCACCCATCATTGTCTGGTTTGTGCTATTTTGTCTCAGGATTCACCCCTCATCAATGTCTGGCATGCACTATTTTGTCTCAGAATTCACCCTAATCATTGTCTGGTATGTGTTATTTTGTCTCAGGATTCACCCCTCATTATTGTCTTGTATGTGGTCTTTTTTCTCAGAATTCACCCCTCATCATTGTCTGGTATGTGTTATTTTGTCTCTGTCTGGTATGTGTTATTTTGTCTCAGAATTCACCCATCATTGTCTGGTTTGTGCTATTTTGTCTCAGGATTCACCCCTCATCAATGTCTGGCATGCACTATTTTGTCTCAGAATTCACCCTAATCATTGTCTGGTATGTGTTATTTTGTCTCAGGATTCACCCCTCATTATTGTCTTGTATGTGGTCTTTTTTCTCAGAATTCACCCCTCATCATTGTCTGGTATGTGTTATTTTGTCTCTGTCTGGTATGTGTTATTTTGTCTCAGAATTCACCCATCATTGTCTGGTTTGTGCTATTTTGTCTCAGGATTCACCCCTCATCAATGTCTGGCATGCACTATTTTGTCTCAGAATTCACCCTAATCATTGTCTGGTATGTGTTATTTTGTCTCAGGATTCACCCCTCATTATTGTCTTGTATGTGGTCTTTTTTCTCAGAATTCACCCCTCATCATTGTTTGGTATGTGTTGTTTTGTATCAGAATTCACCCCTCATCATTGTTTGGTATGTGTTATTTTGTCTCAGAATTCACCCCTCATTATTGACTGGCATGTGTTATTTTGTCTCAGGATTCACCCCTCATTGTTGTCTGGTATGTGGTATTTTTTCTCAGAATTTACCCCTCATCATTGTCTGGTATGTGATATTTTTCTCAGGATTCACCCCTCATCATTGTCTGGTATGTGTTATTTTGTCTCAGAATTCTACCCTCATTATTGTCTGGTATGTGTTATTTTGACTCAGAATTCACCCCTCATCATTGTCTGGTATGTGCTATTTTGTCTCAGAATTCACCCTAATCATTGTCTGGTATGTGTTATCTTGTCTCAGAATTCACCCTTATCATTGTCTGGTATGTGTTATTCTGTCTGCCAATTCAACCCCAATAATGGTCTAGTATGCATTATTTTGATTCAGGATTCAACCCTTATAATGGTCTAGCATGTGTAATTTTGTCTCAGGATTTACCCCTAATTATGTCTGGTATGCTTTTTTTTGGTCACAGGATTCACTCTGGGTAATTTTCTGCAATTTCATGTTTTGTCTCAGTATTAACTCCTAAAAATTGTCTGATATGTATTTCCTGACTTACAATTCACCCTAATCATTATCTGCTATGTGTTATTTTTGTCTCATGATTCACCCATAATAATTATCTGCTATGTGTTATTTTTGTCTCATGATTCACCCATAATAATTATCTGCTATGTGTTACTTTTGTCTCATGATTCACCCATAATAATTATCTGCTATGTGTTATTTTGCCCCTACAATTCACCCATAGTTATTTTTAGGTATGTGCTATTCTGCCTCATGCTTAGTTTTTTTTCATCTTTTATATTACTTATTCTCTCCTTATAGATCCCTCATTACTTTCTGGTATTTGTTATTCTGTTGCATGATTAACCTCTCATTATTTTCTTCTAGTGTTATTCCATGTTATAACCCATCTTTATATATTTATTTGTCTCACAGCCAACTCTGATTATTTTCTTCTAGTGTTATTCCATGTTATAACCCATCTTTATATATTTATTTGTCTCACAGCCAACTCTGATTATTTTCTAATATGTGTTATTTAAGCTCATAATTAACCCTAAATTTATTTGAAAGTTCATATTATGTCTGTTAATGTTTAAGGCTTAAGTGAACAATACATAAAAAGTAAAGATATGGTATAAGAGATAACAAAATTATTAACAGCATGAGTCTATCTTGTAAAAAAAAAAGAAAGCTGATACCAGGTACCTACTGCATGCGAACTAGTAAAATTTCCACATGTATACTATAGTTATGTGCCAAGTCAATTTCATGGTGAAAATTAAATTCATGTTTTTTCTTTTAATTTGATAAGATTTATTCTGTACTATGTCCTTATTTAAGGATGTTCGCTCCTCTTGTTTTTGAATTTTTGCCAGATATTTCGAATCCTCTGGTTTTATCCATGAAGTGCAATTAAAAAGTTTGCCCTCTAACCCCTACTTTTCTTTCCATAATTTGATTACATATAGTTTAAAATGTCATCTTTGAAAATCTTATAAAATCCTTGTTATTTTTTCATCTTTTTTTTCTTTTAAAAAGCTTGTTATTTTGAAACAGAGTAGCGAACATCCTTAAACACAAACCTAAATTTGGATCAGAGTAGCTGAAAACTTATTTTTCAAATCACTATAAATGAGTGGACTGGCACCCAAAATTAAATGCCTTTATGGTAATGCCACTGTATACCAAATATCAATGATCAACTAAAAAGTAATTATTCTGAAATGGACTAAATCAGAAAATGTATTTGGTGTTGACATAACTACCTGTGCTGAGATGAAACAGGTCTTGCAGATGTAACAACAATAGTGCTTTGTTTCCAAATTAAAATTTTCATGAATTTTCTGGGCCATTTATTGTTAATGCAGTCCTTTCATGCAAATTCAGGTGGTAATGTCTTATCTTAAAATTTTATTCTTTAACAAGTGAATTTAAAAAAAAATATAATTTCCTCAGGACAGTCACTATTGGCACATTACTGTATGAATAAAAGACACCTTTCACAAAAATTGTAATTGCAACAGACTATCTGAAAGTGTTGTGTTCTAACATGCCAGGAATCAATAAAGTCTGACTGGTACCTATCACTACAACAAAGCAGACAAGACAAATATTCTACAAGCACTTACATTGATATCTTTGGATTTATGATGTGGTAAAATTTCAAAAATCCTCGGTGCTGCTATGAACACAACATATGGGGCAAATTCAGCAGTACGCAATATTTTCAAAGCCTTCAATGACAAAAGACAATAAAAATTCATGCAATGATTGACATTAAATATATTCATCAAGGTAGAAATTCTGCAAATCCTTCTGTTATTGTTTAACTTTCTAATTTTTTTGAAAACACTGGCATTTTCAAATGCACTCATATATGAATTAAAAAGACATTGACAAGGCATACAGAAGATAATTTGCAGAATTTTCAAATGGTATTAGTGTAAAAACAATATATCTTCATGCACTGAAATAAAATGTGTAATGACATAAAAAGTAAACAAACGACTAAAAAATACTACATGTTAGTGAAAAATCCGGTCATTCAGTTTCTCATATCAAACAAAGATAAAAGTACATGTAACCTTCATTCTAGCTTATGAAATATACATTTAAACAAGCTGAAAGTTCAACACAAAACAGATCTCTGTTATAAAATTAAGTGGAATTTTTGTGAAAAATTTGTCAAAATATCCTATAGAAAGCTAAAGAAATGTGTATGTTTCTAAACAATCTCACCGTTTTATTTAGTAGAAACACAGGTTTTGAATTTTATGTTTATGCACAGAACATAGTTATTTAATTTCTCTTTTGATATTAAGTTTATACTTAGGCAATCTGCAGACTTTCAGAGTAAACATAGCATTTCAATTTCGTCAACCTCACAAAATCTAATTATTTGAAATAACTGAATTATTTGTTTTAGACATAATTAGTTTCCAAACTAATTAATGTTAAACTAAATGACTGGATATACATCTACAAATAAAACACTGTTGTATCTCCTGGTCACATGACACCACCAAAGACAAATGTTTACCTCATGTATTGCAGCTATTGTGGGTGCTGCTACGAACACCACAATTGGAGCAAAATCACCTGTTCTTAATACTCTTATTGCCTGTAAAGTGTCATTATATATTTTAAAATTAGAAAGATCATATCATAGGGAACATGTGTACTAAGTTTCAAGTTGATTGGACTTCAACTTCATCAAAAACTACCTTGACCAAAAACTTTAACCTGACACTGGATAGACGGACGAATGAATGGACGCACAGACCAGAAAACATACATGTAATGCCCCTACTACTATCGTAGGCGGGGGCATAAAAAGTTTTGTTATGCATCTAGTTGCCGGACTACATATGTAATTAAGTTTATAGTTGGCAATATTATACATTTTTTTGTAGAGTTGTCTGGCCTTCTATTCACATAGGCGGATCCAAGGGGGGGCCCTGGGGGGCCCTGGCCCCCCCTTTCGTGGGAAAAATTTGGTTGATAATTTAGGGAATCACTGAAGCGTGACTGGAGCAGGGCCCCCCTTAGGTCAGTCAGCAGGCCCCCCTTACAAAAAGTTCTGGATCCGCCACTGCTATTCATACTATAACACCTGCAGTCTTTACTTGTTAAATGAATATAAGTTCAAGTTTCTAAGGTACAAAATGACTGACTGATTTCAACGGTTTCGATCCTTGATTTGGGAGTACATTCTAACAAAGTACAGCACAGTGTTTCACCTGTGCAACCAGTAGATATAAAAGAAGAGAAAGCTACAGATGATAGAACAGTTTTTCTATATTTTCATAACAGTAAAGATTAATACACCTTATCGCTATTCCCGCTTGACCTGAGAATCTGTCCCGCTCGAACTTTTGACGTCACACAACAATCACTTTTCCATTGTGGCGTCAGATATTTTCTATTATGACGTCAAAATTTTACGGGAACTTGTGTGATGTCCAGTAATGGCGGACAAATAGCGATAAGGTGTATGGAGAAGACAGTACATTTTCATCTGTTTACTCTGTGGAGCTTATCTTCAAACTTGTTGTATAGGAATCAAACTGTTTTACCTTTCCATTTTTTTGCCATAAAGGTAGAATTCATAGAATTGTCCTAGTAAAATCACCTTTAAAGGCAATTAATGTTTGATCACAAATAACCTTTAATTTGGTGCAAATTCATGTAAACAAAGTTACTTTTCTTCAGTCTTAAAGTCATATGATGCTTGAAATAAATAAAAGGGTTGAATATGTTTTATATACTTGGAAGGCTAAGTTTGACTATAAAACAAGTGTATGTGGACTTTCTTGTAAAAGAAAATCCTTTATCATATCAAAATCTTCAGAAATATACTGCTATTTAATTATTGGCTTCCTGTACTCTAATTCGCCGATATATTTCCATATGCAGGACCTTAACAACAAGACATCTCTTAAGAATTTCAGCCACATTACAGCTCCAGTACAAGGGAAAAACTGTGATGAATGAGAATGTAAACAGTCTTGCACTCAAAGGTAAATAGTAATAATTGATTCATAAAGAACAAATCAAATACACAAAACATTCAACAACTGTTATGGAAAAGTTTAATTATCAAATGGCAACTCATGGAAAAATATCGGCGCTCTATCAATTCACTTATTTTTCAGGTGCTCCACGATTCTGTGTTGATTGTTTATTAATATCCAGAACAAACTTGAAAGCTAATTAGCTTGTGATCAACAATCACTGAATAAAATATTATTTGTCGATAATATGTTATAGATTTGTAATAAATGTAAAAGATGTTTATAGAGAACTTAGTTTAGCATATATGCATGCATTAGTTCCAAAACATTATAATTACAAGAAACTTGTTACATATGACTTTAATAACTAGATGTTTAAATGTTTGAAGCTGTATGGAAAGTTCATTTAACTACAGTTGTCATATGTACGGTACATAATTTAAATAACCTATAAAGTCTGAACTAAAATCAAGTTTTAATTTCTATAAATCATGTTTCTGGACAAAACAAAATCATAAAAAAGATGTCTGCTTAAAAAAATCCAAGTCATCTTGGACACCCCATCTGACAATCTCTTAACAAATTGCTACTCAATAAATTATGTACCTGTGGTTCCACATCTAGAATAGCCATTTGTGACCGTACATGAATTTGTCTAATTGTTTCTAATTTTGTTCCATACATGGCATCATCGTGTGTTCCATATTCTAAATATTCATTATTAGCAATGTCTTTCATCATTTGTTCATGTGTCACAAAAAAATAATTTTTTCCATTTGTTTCATTTTCTCGTGGTGCTCTTGTTGTATCTGGAAACAAAAATGGTGACACATGTAAAAATAAAATTTGGCACAATTGGTGTATCTTAACAAGAGTGCACACACAGCCTGTTTTACTGACCATTGATTTTATGTTGAAAGTCTTAACGATAAAGGTTTTACTACAAGTATCACATAAACTTAACATTTTTAAAGAGACATGACAATGAGGTCAATGTCAGTTAAAAACTGTCACACAGACATGTACACCTTACAATTATTCCATACACCAAATAAAGTTGACCCATTGCTTATGGTAATTGAAAAACAGACCAAAACACAAAAACTTAATGTTAACCAATGAACCATGGAAATGAGGTCAAGGTCAAATGATACTGGCTAGACAGACATGTACACCTTACAATTATTCCATACACCAATTATAGTTGACCTACTGCTTACAGTAATTAAAAAACAGACCAAAATCACAAAAAATTAACAATGACCAATGAACCATGAAAAAGAGGTCTAGGTCAGATGAAACCTGCCAGTCTGACATGTAACCCTTACAATCATTCCATACACCATATAGTTGACCTGCTGCTTGTAGTATCTGAGAAACGGACCTAATCACGTAACTTTAACCTTGATCACTGATCCATGAATTGAGGTCGAGGTCAGGTTAACCCTGCCTGACGGACATGAAGACGTTGCAAGGAACTCATATACCAAATATAATTATCCTATTACTCATAATAAGTGAGAAATTCACATGACAAAAAAACTGTAATTTTTTTTGAAGCAGTCACTGAACCATGAAAATGAAGTCAAGGACAATAGGCATATGACAGACGGAAACTTCGTAACATAAGGTATCTGCATACAAGGTATGAAGCATATAGGTATTCTACCTTCTGAAATATAAAGCTTTATACAAATAGTTTACGCAGCCCCCTCTGGATAGTAATACCTATGTCTCGCATACTGTGACAAAAGCGACTTTCATCGCAGGCGAGAAAAAAATTACAGACATTTTATTATCCATTTACTGCAATAATTGTTAAGAATGATTGTCCTGACATACACTGTATTTATATTTTAGGTTGGGCAAAAAATACCAGAAAACATTGTAAAACAGCATATTGTGATGTCAGATCTGATTATATTATGTTATACTATCATTCATTTGAATTAAAGGATCCTAAATTTATGTTATAAATAGTATTCAAGAAGTACAAGTTTGAAAAGATCCTTTAGTTTATTTGAAAACTTTCCTTCTTGTTGTTTAACGATGAAACAATATGTCCCTAGCATAGTCAAAGGGTAAGACAATTTCTGTTTTTAACACACTGTGAACTTACGTGGTATAGGATATGCAAATCGATCTGGATGACTTGTTATTAATGTATTTTTTATATGTCTTCTTCCAACACCATGAGCACCTATTAAATATAAATTAAAAATGTCAGTTTACTTATATATACACGAAAGCGTCATTAAAAATTCTTTATCAAAAGTTCTATTGTACACTACTGATTGACACCATTAACTTTTAGTAATTAAACTTTGCAATATCCTTACAGGTGAAACATCTAGAATACCTTTGAAACTTAAATGCAAATATGATAAAAAGCAAACTGTTGTTGTCTCATTGGCAAGCATACCAGACGGAGAGATAATCATAAAATTCACAAACTAAGATATACAGATTTCTACCATGGGAAAAGTCATCGCTAAAAAGCAATTCAATTCAATGATTGGAAATCTTTCCCTTTTATAAAATCGTAAAATATATAAACACTTGAAAGTTCTTCTTTATCCCAAGAAATACTAGATTCAAGTTTGCCTCTTCATTCTTTTAATCATACCGAATATGCATGTACTATTTGCTACAATATGTTAAGCAGAGAAAAATCAACAATAAATCATTCTATTAACTTTTGTATTTAAATGCTGTACATGTATCTAGAAACCATAAGCAGTAACACTAATGTTTTCCTCAATACATTGAACTTGGAACCGTATCCAATAATACTAATGTTTTCCTCATAAAGGCAGGTAATTTAACTAGGAACCTTACCCAATAATACTAATGTTTTCCTCATAAAGGCAGGTAATTTAACTAGGAACCTTACCTAATAATACTAATGTTTTCCTCATAAAGGCAGGTAATTTAACTAGGAACCTTACCTAATAATACTAATGTTTTTCTCATAAAGGCAAGTAATTTAACTAGGAACCTTACCTAATAATACTAATGTTTTCCTCATAAAGACAGGTAATTTAACTAGGAACCTTACCTAATAATACTAATGTTTTCCTCATAAAGGCAGGTAATTTAACTAGGAACCTTACCTAATAATACTAATGTTTTTCTCATAAAGGCAAGTAATTTAACTAGGAACCTTACCTAATAATACTAATGTTTTCCTCATAAAGGCAGGTAATCTAACTAGAAACCTTACCTAATAATACTAATGTTTTCCTCATAAAGGCAGGTAATTTAACAACTTCCTCATAGGTCACTAAATCTAATTGGTCAAATATGGAATTATGTTTTGCTAAATATTTGTCTTTTTTCTTCTTTCCAAACCATGAACAATGCACTGAAATACAAACAAACAGGTATATATAATATGATCAAATTATCACTTTCTCACAGTTGGCCTCAGACCTCAATTTTAAAATTGTTGATGGTGTATGAACTTAGATTCTAAGTGTAGGGTATTTCTTCATGATTAATCTTTCTACTTTTTTCTTTGAAAAACTACTAGAGTGGTCCTTAAAGTAATATATATTGAAATTAGTAAAACACAGGGAAAATGGAATGTTGAAAGTGAAATTAGTGATCTTACATAAGTATAAGACAGAGGCAGAAATTAGCTTTGGGATTTATTTAAGATTCATATCACTACCATTTGATGTTTTCATGACTCTAAAGACAGAAAGTGGTAGATTTTTATGAGAGATGTATATTTGATCAGAATAATTATCAGTAAGCAGATTATTACAGAAATAAAAAGATTAATGAATTATCTTCCTTTATTTAGTTGTGGAAGACAGGAAGGGGAAAGTTTTAAATTTCCTCCCTTTGTTCTCTCTGCAAAATAGACAGTTGAATTAATTTTGCATTTTGTATGGGAAGGACGGAAGTTCACGGAACCCCATACTTCTATGTTCCCTGCAACGCTTCACACAGGGGACAATGAGAGTCAATTATAGATTATCTATGGTTCTTGAAATGAGAGTAAGTTTCTTGGCTGCAATCTCATTGAAGCGTGACATTCTCGTCTATTTTTCTTAATGGAAGTTATGTCAATTGATTGACAGGAATATCATTTGAAAACTAGAATCTTTAAGCTCTGAGAAAATTGTAATGATTTTGAATTTCCTAAGGTTACAGATGGACAAAGACTGTGTAAACCAAGTGATAGCTCACACTGACCTTGAAGTCCAGATACCGTATAGCGGGTTCTTTTCGCGGGGTGTTTATTTTCGCTTATTTTGGCGGATAAACGAAAATCACGAAAATAAGTTCCGCAAAAGTTTATGCATACATTCAGTACTTTCCATTAGCTAAAGCGTTTTGTGAACCATTTTTTTTTTTCCCAGTCGGCAGGTCAATAACGGTTTATGTTCGTTCATTGCAAAAGTGCATTCTACATAAATGCTTTTTATAATATTATGACGTCGCCAGTTCTAATTAATCTGTATACACTTATCAATTAGTGTCAAATAATTAAAGAGTATAAGGTACTCTGTGGGGTATTTCATCTTATTAATAAGTGTCAAATTATTATATAAAAATTGTAGGTTACTCTTGATAATTTCATCACCCATTAGTACATCAAAGGTCCAGTCAATTGTATCAACTGTATCATTTACAAGAAGTTTGTACACCTGTGATAATGCCTAAGTTGCCATTGTTCTTTTGTTTGTTTAACTGTATCCGAATATAATCAATAAATAAGATGTAAGTCAAGTATTAAAAAAAATAAAATGCTCCGCTGGGCACAGCTTGATACGACCGCAGAGGTCGAACCCTGAACTGTTGGGGCAAGTATGGACACAACATTCAAGCTTGATACAGCACTGAATTTGGATTGTGATTAAATATTTGACACAGCATAGGTTTCTGACACAGAATGAATGTGGTCTAAGAACTTAAATTTTTTTTAATTTACCTATTCAAACCATATCATTATTATTTGCTTTTATATATAAATCAGAAATAACCAATTTAAAATGGAAAATTTTAAAGAAAAAAAAGGAAAACAAAAATCCCCCCTCAAATTTTTTGAACCCCCTTATGATTCATCACCCCCAAACTCAATCCCAGCCTTCCCTTTGTGTTACAATGTATGATGCCTTGCAGTACAATTTCAAAGAGATCCATACACTTGAACACAAGTTATTGTCTGGAAACCAGAAAAATGCTTATTTTTGGCCCCCTTTTGGCCCCTTATTTCTAAACGTTTTGGGCAATTACCCCCAAACTCAATTCCAGCTTTCCCTTTGAGATATGGAACCTTGTAGTACAATTCCAGAAAGATCCATACACTTACACACAAGTTATTGTCCTGAAACTAGAAAAATGCTTATTTTTATGCCCCTTTTTGGCCCCTAATTCCTTAAATTTTGAGGCAATTACCCCCAAAATCAATCCCAGCCTTTCCTTTAGTGGTATGGTACTTTGCAGTACAATTTCAGAGAGATCCGTACACTTGAACACAAGTTATTGTCTGGAAACTAGAAAAATGCTTATTTTTGGCCCCCTTTTGGCCCCTTATTCCTAAACGTTTTGGGCAATTGCCCCCAAACTCAATTCCAGCTTTCCCTTTGTGATATGGAACCCTGTAGTACAATTTCAGAAAGATCCATACACTTACACACAAGTTATTGTCATGAAACTAGAAAAATGCTTGTTTTTTGCCCCTTTTTCGCCCCTAATTCCTAAATTTTGAGGCAATTACCCCCAAAATCAATCCCAGCATTCCTTTTGTGATATGGAACCTTGTTGTACAATGTCAGAGAGATCCATACACTAACACACAAGTTATGTCTGGAAGTTACAAAAATGCTTATTTTTGGCCCCTTTTTGGCCCCTAATTCCTTAACTGTTGGTACCATAACCCCCAAAATCAATACCAACCTTCCTTTTGTGGTATTGAACCTTGTGGTAAAATTTCATAGAGATCCATTCACTTAAACTAAAGTTAAAGTGTGAAAACCAATGTGTCTTCGGACGACAACCACGCCAACGTCATACCAATATACGACCACAAAAAATTTTTTGCGGTCGTATAAAAATCATTCAACCATAGCAATAGACACTTGTTTTGATGACTTTTTTTTAATTGCAACCATTTTTGAATTCACAAAAATATTTAATTGGGAATTACGAATCCGTCAAAATAAAAAACACCAAAATTTTTCATATACTTTGATGCCCCTAAATCGCGAAATTTTAAACCCACGAAAAAAAAAACGCTATATGGTAAGCTATAGATGATACCTTGCTGATAAAAATAAACTACATGGAATCAGCAGATCTTTTACTTATCTAACTAAGCTTGTCCTAAACAGTTGTGATTTTTTTAAAGATCAGAACAGCTAGATACATATTTGATTTAAAATATATTCATTGTTGGATAGTTTTCTCATTGGCATTTATACCACATCTCTTTCTCTGTATATAGTTATTGCTTAATGGTTAATCATTTTCCACGTTGCCTATCATATTATTAAGCAATTTATTTATTTTCTCAGAAAAACTCCCAAACTTGACAAAATTTGAATAAATGATATCATGTTTATTATTTGTGTATTGTATTACATGGTATTGTTGTTTTTCCTCATCATTAGAATTTGACACCTTAGGATCAATATAAATCTGATGCTTCCTTCATCAATATTAGGATTTGTGTTACAGTTCACAACATTCAAAATGTACAAGCTGTTCAACTTTTGTTGTATTAGTCAGATAATACTTTTTTTAACTCAATACTAACCCATACTATTATTTTGAACTATATTTCAGAGAAACCACATTTATAAGTTTATCAAGAACTTTTGGTTCCAATCTACACACCTTAATAGGAATACAAAAACTTGCAATTACCTCTATAATGAATTATGACAAGACTATTTTCTAAAATGAGTAAAATGAGACATATCTTGGTTAATTTTGAACTTCTGCAAGGATAAGACCCCCCCCTTTTTTTAACATTGCACATGTACAAGGGAGATAATTTCAACAATTCTCTTCCCTGACATCAGTCTTTCAAAACATTGCCTAATTCAATCAATCTAATTACCAGCGTTTTCTTTCAGTTTTTCTCGACTAGAAACTGTTGTCCTCCATTCTTGGAGTTCAGGAGAAGGAATTAATCCTGCTGGGTCAGTAGAGTTTGGGGATGTACCAACTTTTTTTGCTTGCCACCAATTGGAATCATCTTTGCTAATAATCTGGAAGAAAATATATACTTCTTTTTTGTATTAGGCTAAAAGTGTTAAACAGTATCCTCACATAGTCATACTAATCAACATTTGAAAAGCGAAAAAACTGGTCAGGAACAGCATTGAGTAAAAATAGTATCTGGTGTTTTGGAGCTTTTCAAATATTAAGAGCATTTGCTTCATACTTAAAATTCTAAAATAAGAATATGTGGTTTGACTGCCAATGAGACAACTATCCACCAGATACCAAATGACGTAGAAGTTAACAAACATAGGTCACTGTATATCCTTCAACAATGAGCAAAACTCATACTGTATAGTAAGCTATAAAAGGACCCGAAATGACAACAGTAATACAATTCAAGGGAGAAAACTAAATCTGATTTATGTACTATGTCTTTTTCTTAGAAATATTAAAAAAATGAAACATACACCTAAAATAATTCATTTAAAAAAAAATCTGAACTTCCAAGTAAGCATATATATAAAATTGAGAATGGAAATGGGGAATGTGTCAAAGAGACAACAACCCGACCACAGAGCAGACAACAGCCGAAGGCCACCAATGGGTCTTCAATGCAGCGAGAAACTCCCGCACCCGGAGGCGTCCTTCAGCTGGCCCCTAAACAAATATGTATACTAGTTCAGTGATAATGGACGCCATACTAAACTCCAAATTATACACAAGAAACTAAAATTAAAAATGATACAAGACTAACAAAGGCCAGAGGCTCCTGACTTGGGACAGGCGCAAAAATGTGGCGGGGTTAAACATGTTTTTTGAGATCTCAACCCTCCCCCTATACCTCTAGCCAATGTAGAAAAAACAAACGTACAACAGTAAGTACAGTAAAACTCAGTTTAAGAGAAGTCCGAGTCCGATGTCAGAATAGGAAACAAAAGAAAATAAACAAAATGACAATAATACATGAATAACAACAGACTACTAGCAGTTACTGACATGCAAGCTCCAGACCTCAATTAAACTGATTGAAAGATTATGTCTTCATCATATGAATATCAGGCACAATCCCTCCTGTTAGGGGTTTAGTATTATACCATCATAAAATATATGAGAAGAACATAACCCGTGTCATGCCAACAACTGGTTTTAGAATAAATATGTTTAATTCCGATGCAAAGACCCTATAAGTGAATCAATATTAAAGCCAAAATATGCAACCTTTAATGACCTGACAACAGTATCGTAACTATATCCCTTCTTAATAAGTCTGTTTAAAGGTTTTGTTAGCTTTTGAAGTGAATACTGACATTTTAGTGCTTTGTAAAGAACATTACCATAAAAGATTGGATGTGAAATACCCGAACATATAAGATGTCTGCATGTTGAGTTATATTTGATGTCCTTATACCGATGATAAAATTTAGTAAATGTTTTGACTAGTTTATGATTTCGAATACCCTGGTGTAATAATTTTTCAGCAATACATAAATTTCTCTCGCTAAAATCTTATATGTTGTTACATACACGAGCGAATCGTACAAGTTGAGATATATAAACACCATAAGATAGTGACAAGGGAATGTCACCATCTAAAAATGGATAATTAACGATAGGAAATGAAAAATCATCTCTTTTATCATAAATTTTTGTATCAAGCTTCCTGTTAATGATATAGATATCAAGATCGAGGAATATAAATACATATTTGTTGATAACTAGTAAACATAATTCAAATCAAAGCATAAATGATTCTACATGGAATTGTTAAACAAATATACAAATGTTATAGCAATTATTAAATGTTATAAACTAGACTTGCATTATAAAATTTTTTTTGTTTTTTCCTTGCAGAACTATTTACAGTTAGAGTTGTCTCCCATATCATTTGCTTCACTTAAACTTGCCTTTTTTACCTGTACACTTTGACCTAACAGACCTGTAATTGTCACCTGACTTGACCATACCACTACTGACTACTTACCTGTAAAACATCTCCAACACTAAATGAAACACCAGCTTGTGAACACGGAATCAGATCATCATCCTCTGGGTTATAATCAAATAATGCTCGAACATATATCTGGAAAGAAATATAGATCACATCCTTCATACATCCTTACATGATAGCTTAAAAGTTTATCATATTCATAAAATGTCAATACGTATGGAATATTTTGGTTTGGGTTTGAAAAAACAGTAATCACTTAATGTTTGGAAAAAAGTTTTGTAACCATTGAAGAAAAGGACCACTACTTTATTCAGCAGGTAATTTCTTGTTTTCAACTGTCTCTGTTTGAGAATATCTGAGAATAAAACAGATTGAGCTTAAACCTTAAATGGTCCTAAACGTTCATGAAGGTAAATGCAATCTGCAATAATTTTTTCTTTTTTAGAATGATTAAATACTAGTAAATCTAAAGAGCCGGTCGCTCACCTGAATCAATGTGCATCTCCAACAAAGGCAAGTATCCAATATCATAGTATGTATATATCATTAAAAAAATGCCTTTTAAGTTTATCTTGTATTGCTGCTCATTCTTTTCTGTATACAATTTTTTCATTATCTTTGATAGTTTCAAGAAAAAACTTTAGCTAGAGAACGGAAATGAAAAATTCAGCAATTTTTCCATTTGTAAAGGAGCATAAATCTAGAACGGTTAAAGTGACACCACCAAAATTCTAACTTGATCTGTGTTTTGTGGTAATAAGCATTGAGTACAAGTTTTGTAGCATTTGGTTAAGGCAAACTAAAGTTAGAGAACGGAAACAAATTCAGCAATTTTTCCATTTGTAAAGGGGCATAAATCTAGAACGGTTAAAGTGACGCCACCAAAATTCAAACTTGATTTGTGTTTTGTGGTAATAAGCATTGAGTATAAGTTTTGTAGCATTTGGTTAAGGCAAACTAAAGTTAGAGAACGGAAACGAAAAATTCAGCAATTTTTCCATTTGTAAAGGGGCATAATTCTAGAACGGTTAAAGTGACGCCACCAAAATTCAATCTTGATCTGTTTTTTGTGGTAATAATCATTGTATATAAGTTTGGTAGCTTTTGGTTGAGGCATACTAAAGTTACAGAAAACGAAAAATTCAGCAATTTTTCCATTTGTAAAGGGGCATAACTCTAGAACGGTTAAAGTGAAGCCACCAAAATTCAAACTTGATTTGTGTTTTGTGGTAATAAGCATTGTGTATAAGTTTCATAACATTTGGTTGAGGCAAACTAAAGTTAGAGAACGGAAACCAACTTTGGGACGTATGTATGGACGGACGCATATGGACGTACAGACGGACAAGGGTAAAACTTAATGCCCCCTCCGCTACGGCGGGGCATAAAAAGACAAAACTGGGTAAAAATCAGCATTAAAGGGTATTAAGGGCTATAACTTAGACAGACAAGTTATGTATTTGAAAGCATGATGCACACTATTCATCCTTAAACAAAGAATATGTTGATGCACATACTGAATTCAACAGTAATGAGTTCTCGAAAACATTTCAATATTGTGAGTTGATGTTAATTAGAAAAAGATAATGAAAGCAATAACTTGCTGTTCAGAATGTATAAGTTTTTGCAGCCCTCTATTAAAAGTAGTTTATATAATAACATTGCTTTACTAGAAATCTATGCATAGTATATGACAATCAAAAGATAAATCTGCGGCAGTCTGAGGTGACATGCTTGTGAATGATTAAGTGTGCAATAAGTCAGAACTTAAAAGTTTGTCACTAAGGAAAATGAAAATATTCAAGCACATTATCATAAAAACATTCAAAGACTAAACACATGTAAAGCACCTTTTGTAACCAATTGTAAACACTGTATTAGATAAAACAAAAGCTTATAAATTTATCACTATTTCATGGCAAAACATATAATACAAATTAACTCTAAGAAACAATTGTGATCCCTATTTATAACTCTTATAAACTGATCCTTCAAAAATATTTACAATTAATTTAAATAATTTTAGAGCCACTTATGATTTTACAAGTACATTGAAATAGTCCTTGCCCTATTCTAAGTGCTTTCGCTACTTTCAAAGACTGAAAATTGTACATATAAAATGCTGGTAACACTGTTAAGACATTTTTAAAGCAGTACAATCAAACCTTGTTAATCAGAACATGCTAGCATACTTACAAAAAGATTAGTAACCTCTTGTAAGTCAAAAACCTGGTTAATTCTAAGAGATATTGACTGCCCTTTCCACTTGGACACAACAAGGTTTGACTGTAATGATAAACCGTCATTATCTCAAATTGTCAAGGTCAAATGAGATAAATAAAGAAAGCCAAATATTGAATGTCAAATCAAAATATTTTTTGACCCTACAGCTTAGTCCTACCCTGTTACTAAAATTTTAAATCAAACTCCTGGTTTTTCACCTTAATCTTCAGAGCACAAATTTGTTCTCTCCTTGCAAAACAACTTTATAGTACTAAAGAGAACATGGTTTGACATTGAATAAATGTCACAGTTTTATAACATATGCATGAACATTATTTATCCTTGAAAATAAAAACAACATCTTTAACCAAACTAAATCTAGCGATTTGTATATACATGCATTTTTATGCACAGTTCAAATATGAGCATTTCCTTATAAGGAATAAAAATAAAAAAATCTTTTTGCTACAGTAAAATTTCAAATAAAACTTCAGAATAAAATACACGTCTTGCTTGTTATAAAAAAATTCTAATGCAATCTTTATGTAAGTTTTTTTTTCTTTGAATAGAATCAAAAATTGACACGTCTTTAGCTGCCATATTGAATTTATGGAATCTTCAAATGTTCCATTCATACAATACTGTCGATAAATAAACAACACCTCAAAAAAACTGCTTCATGGGATATTATCTATATTTGAATTATACAATTAATGGAATAACTTTTAGTTTAAAAGTTTATATTTGTATGAGTCATGCTTAGCCATGAGGTTTTTACACTAAAATCATGCATGAAAATTTTAATTAATTTAGAATTTTTACATTTTTTCAAGCTCTAACATGTAAATTCTTTTTGTAATGCATTAGAATCTGAAAAACAGTACTGTAGTATTAAAGAAGAGTTGCTGCCGTTAATTGGGATTTAACTGTAGCAAGTATCCATTGTACTGGCTCAGCTTCCTGTTACCAATAAAATTTCATGTTTTAATCACCAATCACCAATCAACAATACCAACTCTTCAACTACAGTACTGTAATTCCTTAAATGTAATTTGACTTGACTTTTGCAGTGATTTTATCAATGCTCATATGAAAACTTATGCAAATTAGCTTTACTTACAATTACAATTACTATTGACAACACAGTATATAGGAAATTCTGCTTATATTTCATAAAATTAAGCTTCACATGTACACAGAGGAAATAAACATTTATTTTCATTTTATCAAAGCATCAACATATTACATTTCAATAGGGAATAATTAAAACATATTTATAATTTTGTTGTTGAAGATGTTTGAAAAATTCTCCTATTTAAATGCAATCAGGTTGTATTGTGCCAAATATTTTGAGATAAAAATAATTATTGCAAATAAAAAAAGTATTTTACTTCTGCAGACAAGGAAAATAAAAACAATCTGATACGATTTACTTTCAATATGTTTCCCAGCCATTGTAACAGTATCTAAGGTTTTGGATCACAAACTACAGGAAATGTCTAGATTTTTAATTAAAATAGAAAATTGTGATGCTGGAAAGCAATGTTTGTTAGAATTTTCATTTATGGCAACATATACACATTTTGGCAATATTTTGAAATTTCATGAAATTTGAATGCATTTAGAACTTGTTCAACTGCATTTGAATATCAAAAATGATATATGTATCAGATATAATTCTAGAGAAACTATCAATTAAAAATTTGTGAAATTGGTCTAAAATGTATAGGATTAACATAAAAAGCGATTCCTTTTTTCAGTAGAATTCAATTAGTCTCAATATATAGTGTGATAAAGGGTAAAAACGACAGAATAATTGTAATATTGTGATGGTCTCATGCTGTAAAATCGTATATTTTCATAATACACTCATACTTAAATGATTTAGACAGCAAAAAAAAAAAAGAAGCCCAGTGACCAACAGCATTATATTTTTTAAAATTAAAATTTTTTTTAATGTAGTACATGTATCCACTATGTAAATTAATTACATCCACTGAAAACTATTTTTATGGATTTAAAATTTGCCAGTATTTTAGAAATGAAATCAGAATTTTGTAAACAAAGATTCTTTAATTATTCAACATATAGATTTTTAAATTAGTCATATTTGGCACTATACAAGACGACACAATTACATATTTAACAATGCCTTCACCCTAGAATAATTACAAACCTCACACTGGGCTGGGCTATTTCTATGACTGGGGACTATCTTCAAGCTGACATTTCCCCTCGCTTCTCTCTGAAAATGTGCCAATGGTGCAAAATATATTGTGACAACAACTGGTAAAAAGGCTTATGTGTTTTATAAACAAAATTTGTAGTGTCACGAAAATATACAAGTAATGACAAATAAATTTTAATTTAGATTACAAATTTTTGACAAATCTTGAAATAAAATAATATGCAAAAATACCATTTTATGGTATTAAACATTTAAAATTTATTTGCCAATAATAGAATAAATGATGACAACATCAACCAATGATAAATCAGTAAAAAATAAGAAATAGAGATAATGTGACAACATCAACCAATGAAAAGTCTATGATGACAACATTAGCACCAACCAATGAAAATGTCTGATTATATCATACAACAACATCAACCAATTAAATACCTTTTTATGATTATTATTCATGTGCTGTTGAGCAAACAAGCCAGATGTAGCATGTGGTTGAACTTTAAAGGTCACATGTCCTTTTAAGGTTTTCTGTGGTGAGCAATAATAACAGATTTTATTCTTTCTGTTGAATTGCAACAGAAAGATTTACATTCATGCTTTTCTAACTTAAATATTTACATATACAATGAGAAAAAATATCTCTGACATTTTTTATTTGAATCTTGAAGTTGCTCATAAGCAGATTTAACTGTAATATATTGGCTTATAACACTCAGCTAGTAAACCATTTAACAGGATGAGAGAAATCTTCGCAATGTCTCACAATAATCAGCATGACAAACCTCAATTAAAAAATGTCTCTGGAAGCCATGTTTTCTTCTCAGAATATAAATATTTATGTAGGACCTGCCATGTTTATTCTTGCCCTATTTAGTTTGATTTGGTCAAGTGCTTTCAAAAAGGTAAAAAGGGGACAAAACAAAGTGGACAATAGAAAACCAAGAATCAGAAAATGCAATGGCTAAAAGAAAGAAGAAAAACATACTAACGACAGTTCACAAAACCTAAGGATTGAGTAACACAATTCCTCTCCCTACTTTACTTGCCATGATTGATTTAATTTTGAAAGTCTTACTACAAGTATAACATAAACTTTACATTATCAATGATCCATAACAATAAGGTCATGGTCAGATAAAACCCTTGTAGACAGACATGTACAGCTTGCAATCATTCCATACACCAAACATATTGGACCTTTTATTTATAGTATCAAAAGAACAAAACCTAACTATGAAAACTTAAAATTGTCAAATGAACCATGAAAATGAGGTCAAGCAAGGTCAGTTGATGCATGACAGACAGACTTGTACACCTTAGAATCATTCCTTGCACCAAATATACTAAAGCATTGCTTATAGCATCTAAGAAACAGACTTAACCAGAAAAACTTAACATTGACCAATGAACCATGAAAATGAGGTCAAGGTCAAATAAAACATGCCAGACAGACATGTTAACCATGCAATCATTCCATGCACCAAATAAGGTTGACATTTTGCTTATAATATCTAAGAAACAGACTTATGCAGGTACAAACTAAATATTGACCAATGAACCATGTAAATGAGGTCAAGGTCAGATGAACCATGCCAGAAAGACATGTAAATCTGACAATCATTCCATACACCAAAATTAGTTGACCTATTACTTATAGTATCTGAGAAGAGGACCAAACTACAGAAACTTAACATTGGTCAATAAACCATGAAAATAAGGTCAATGTCAGATGAAACCTGCAAGAAAGACATGTACACCTTACAATCATTCCATACACCAAATATAGTAGACCTATTGCTTATGGTATCTGAGAAATGGACACAATCATGTAACGTTAACCTTGATAACTTTGATCCATGAAATGAGGTTGAGGTCAGGTGAACCCGGTCTGACAGACATCTAGACCTTGCAAGGTACCAATATATTTAACCTGTTACTCATAATAAGTCAGAAATTCACATGACAAAAAATAATATGATTTTTTTACAAGCAGTTGCTGAACCATGAAAATGAAGTCAAGAACATTGGATATATGACAGACGAGAACTTCGTAACATAAGGTATCTGCATACAAGGTATGAAGCATCCAGGCCTTCTGAAATATAAAGTTTTATACAATTAGTTTACGCTGCCAGATAGTAATCCCTATGTCTCATATTCTGCGACTTTTGTAGCAGGCGAGATAAAACCCTATGTAATTTGTGGTTTAATTTGTCACTAAATATGTCAAAGAATCTGATTATGCCATTTATACATGTCTTACCAATAGTCGTTGTAAGTTGTCTACAGTCTGATTGGATACATTTACACCATTTATTTCTCGTATTTCATCTCCAACATGTAGTGTTCCTATTATGAACAACAAAAACTTAAATGAGATAAGTAAATTGTATTTTGTATATGTTTTCATACACAAGAAAAATCAGAAACATTTACTTTCTAAGATACTAATTTAATTGATCAAATTAATCCCAGCAACTATCTTCTATCATAATAGGTGTTCCTTGTTGCACCTCTGACATGAAATTTAAAATAGAAAAATAAATTTTGTTTCATTTATATGCACAAAAAATTAAGGTTTCAACTCCTTCTTCCAAGGGAAGCATTAGTTTTGTCTTAGACTACCATATTTCACAGTAGTAATCCAATCATTTTTTGATGTTTCCGCCACTGACATTCTTCAGTTTCTCTATTATCCTTCTAACCTACATGGCTAATATTCTATCTTTGGCACTATATGTTTTTTTGTTATCATAATATGTTTCTTTGGCTTTACAAAACATTTTTAATATTTGAATTTTGAAGCAACCTTTTCTTAATTTTTTTGATTCAATACTACAGAAAAATATCTTTATTTTACTCACATCCTTTAATATTTTAGTACATGTGTTATAAAATAATATCAATTAAATTAATATTTGGATAAAACAAAAGAGATGTTTATTAGCTTTGTTGAAATCAATTGATACGTTAAAGTGTTTGCTCATTGCTGTCCTCTGGAGACGTCAATCAAGGAAACATATAATTACCTTGACGATGAATCATGCCTCCATGGAGAATCCTAGCAACCAAACATTTTCCTTGCTCTGTCACCTTTAATGTTATTCCCTAAAAAGACATCAATTGTAAAAACGAGGTTAAGGCTCTAAATATAGATCAAAATCAAATTAGTCCATTTTTATGAATATTCATAAGTATGCTCTGATGGAAGCTTATCCTCTTGTGCGAATTAATCTGTCTATAAACAAACCCATTAAACAAACCTTTACTTATTTGGGGAAAACTTTCCATAAAACCACACCATAAATTTTACATTTATAGATAAATGAGAGTTGTTAAAAGCACAAATATTCAAGGATAGTATGTTTAACTTGATATAAATAAGTTTAATTTGTGGGTTTATCAATATAGAAGATGAAGTTAAATATAAAATACTACATCAAAATGTTATAAAATGAAATTGTTTGAGGGTCCACAAGGATAAATCTAAAGATAGGTTTTAAAAATATTTGTATGTGGAAATTGTAGAAGGCTTTAGACATTAGGTTTAACAATGGAACTTTTTAATGCTGTATCCAAACTTACAAGAAGAATTGTTTATTGGATTGAATATGCCTTTATGCTAACTGATAATTTTATAAAAAAAGAATTCTTTTCAGGGAACTGCAAAAACTATTATACTTAAGAATTGAATACTTCTTTTTGTAATTTTATTGGGGTGTAAAAGCATTGCCTGAAGAATATTTTGTATGAAGCGCTAAAGCATGAAATTAAAACATATATCAAATTTTTCATTAGCATTCCATGCAGTGTTGTGACGTTTTGCATCTTATTGGGAAATAAAATCTAATTTTGAAATGCCTTGCAATAGTTGTCAGTCAATAAAAGTAGATTATTATAAAACATACATGTAATTTTACACTAGTAATTTTTTGGGGCCCTTTATAGCTTGCTGTTCGGTGTGAGCCAATGCTCCGTGTTGAAGGCCGTACCTTGACCTATAATGGTTTACTTTTATAAATTGTAATTTGGATGGAGAGTTGTCTCATTGGCACTCATACCACATCTTCCTATATCTATGTAATGTAATTATATTCTTTAATATCTGGATATCATGAACAAATTTAAAGGTAAAAACAGTGAACAATATTTTTTCACAAAGGTTTAATCTCTTACCATAGGTTCATCTGTATTTTTCTGAAACTGTACCATTCTTACACGTGTGACATTGGAAGACTCCATTTCTGACACAGGGGTTTCAGGTTGAGAATCCCCGTTAAGATAAGGCTGAAGTGGTGGGGGAGTTACACGTACAGCATCCTCACTGTAGACTTCATGAGCCACAACATCATGGGCTTGTAATAAAGCCTGAAAATACAATAATGACAGACTATAAAAGAAGCAAACTTTAGCATATAAATTTGTGAAACATATCATGTAATAAAACAAAGAAAATATTACAATGATTGACTTCAAATTAAAAATACAAGCATGCTTGTAATGAAGTCTGAAAATAAATATTAGTGACAGGATTGTACTAATTCATGAAAGCTTGTTTCATAAAACCATTACACAGTAAAAAAATATTAGGCAGTAAATTTAATCTAGTTTGTAACAAAATCTGAAGAATATTTTGTCAGAATGAAAATGTTAGCTTTTCATAAAAAACATGCTTCTGTCAATTTATTTAACTCCCCAATATAACTATTAACAATTCATACAAAATGTGTCTCAGTCAATGCTTTAACTCACCAATATAACTATTAATAATTCATACAAAATGTGTCTCAGTCAATGCTTTAACTCACCAATATAACTGTTAACAATTCATACAAAATGTGTCTCAGTCAATGCTTTAACTCACCAATATAACTGTTAACAATTCATACAAAATGTGTCTCAGTCAATGCTTTAACTCACCAATATAACTATTAATAATTCATACAAAATGTGTCTCAGTCAATGCTTTAACTCACCAATATAACTGTTAACAATTCATACAAAATGTGTCTCAGTCAATGCTTTAACTCACAAATATATATGTTAACAATTCATACAAAATGTGCATAAGTCAATGCATCAACTCACCAATATAACTGTTAACAATTCATACAAAATGTGTCTCAGTCAATGCTTTAACTCACCCATATAACTGTTAACATATCATACAAAATATGTCTCAGTCTCACAGTTGATGATTTTAACTCGCCAATATCGTATGAAATGTACTTTTCAATGCTTTTACTCACCATTAAAACAGTTAACATATTTTCACACAAAATGTACTTGTCAATGCTTTCACTCGGAAATGTAGCTGCTAACATTATGAGACAAAACTTCTAGTAGTGGTGATTAATCATGCCAGTTTTACCCAACTTCAAGGGATTTGAAAATTAGAGAGAGGAAAGGATTTGTGAAAGACGGACAAGCTGATAATTATAGGCCTTCCACCGATTAATCTGTCGACCTAAAAGGCAACTTTTTTCAGAAATTCTAAATTTTTATAAAAAAATCATTCTAAACATTTTCCATTCTTTAAACCAATGCTGGCAACAGAAGACATATGACAAAGTATTGATTTTACTCCACACAGATCTATACTGAATTCCAATGCTGGCTGGGGCCTTGGTGGCCATGTGGTTCTTTTAATGACTGTATCACTAGCCTGTCAACACTGAGGTTGTGAGTTCAAACCCAGGACATGGCAGGCACATTCCATTCCAATCTTAATTGACTAGAATTGCCACATTTCCTGCCAAAAGGTTGATGATTCTCTCTGGGCAATCTAGCTTCCTCAACCAATATAAACTGGTCGCCTCAAAATAGCCAATAGTGCTGATCTTGATGGTAAACACCAACAATCAAATCAATCAATTAATCCATCAATTTAATGCTGGCCATGGTAGAAATATCAGAAATAGTCATTTTTCCTCAACAAAGTTTCAACAGTTAGTGCCAATGTTTTCCAAAGTAGACATATAACAAGTATTCATTTACCTCCACATGGTCTCTATACTTGATGCCAAAGCTGGCCAGAGTACACTTAGTACAACACAGTTTACAATTACTTTATTAAATGTAAATAACATACAAAGTTTTAACTATTTTAAAAACTAAATATAGCCATTTTGAAATCTATAAGACATGAAATAAAAAATTTCATAAGAACTTGTAAGGTTGCATTCCAATATTTAGTATTAGATTTAGCATTTGGCAACCACTTTCCTGCACAAATTTCAGTCTATTTTAAGTAACTATGACCTCAAAATCAATGGGGATCTTTCTCTCATTATATGTGACCATATATTCAAGTAAGGTTGCAATCCCATATACAGTAATTGATTTAGTATCCAGAAACCACTTTCCTGCACAAATTTTGGTTTGATTTTAGTAACTTTGACCTTAACCTTAACAGAAGTGACCACAAAATCAATAAAAGAACAGAGTTCCAATGTCCCCAGCATTGCACATATTTTATCTATATAAGGTGAAAGGGCAATTTTTTCAATATTTTTTAGAGAAATGAGGCTTCAGAGCAAATGCAATGTGATTTCCATTATAGTTAATATTTCCAAGGGGCATAACTCATTAAAAATATTTGATCAGAACTTATTTTCGAAAGTGCCAAAGACATTGCTGATATAAACCTATGATATAAGTTTCATAAAATTCTGGCAAGAATTGAACATATGAGAGCACTAACAATGCAATTTTCCAAATAATCAATACTTCCAAGGGGCACAACTCTTTTAAAAATTATTGATCAGCACAAATTTTTGAACTCTTCAAAGACATTGATGATATAAACCTATAATATAAATTTCATAAATATCTGGCAAGAATTGTACACATTAGAGCGCTCATAAGATATAATTAATATTTCCAAGGGGCATAACTCTTTTAAAAATTCTTGATCGGCACTGGTTTTCGAACTCGTCAAAGACATTGCAGATATAAACTATGATTTAAGTTTCATAAAAATCTGGCAAGAATTGAACACATGAGAGCGCTAACGATGCAATTTTCCATATAGTTAATGTTTCCAAAGGGCATAACTCTTTTAGAAATTATTGATTGGCACTGATTTTCGAACTCATCATAGACATTGCTGATATAAACTTATGATATAAGTTTCATAAAAATCTGGCAAGAATTGAACACATGAGAGCACTAACGATGCAATTTTCCATATAGTTAATGTTTCCAAAGGGCATAACTCTCTTAAAAATTATTGATTGGCACTGATTTTCGAACTGGTCCAAGACATTGCTAATATAAACTTATTATATAGGTTTCATAAAAATCTGGCAAGAATTGAACAATGATCTTTATGATACATAAGAAAATATGACTCAGAATTTTCTTAAATGGTAAATGAGTAATAGTGCTTTTTCGAAAATCCTGAAAACTCTTTTAAAAATTCTTGATCGGCACTGGTTTTCGAACTCGTCAAAGACATTGCTGATATAAACTATGATTTAAGTTTCATAAAAATCTGGCAAGAATTGAACACATGAGAGCGCTAACGATGCAATTTTCCATATAGTTAATGTTTCCAAAGGGCATAACTCTTTTAGAAATTATTGATTGGCACTGATCTTCGAACTCATCATAGACATTGCTGATATAAAACTTATGATAAAAGTTTCATAAAAATCTGGCAAGAATTGAACACATGAGAGCGCTAACGATGCAATTTTCCATATAGTTAATGTTTCCAAAGGGCATAACTCTCTTAAAAATTATTGATTGGCACTGATTTTCGAACTGGTCCAAGACATTGCTAATATAAACTTATGATATAGGTTTCATAAAAATCTGGCAAGAATTGAACAAATGCGCTAATGATGCAATTTTCCATATAATTAATGTATCCAAGGGGCATAACTCTTTTAAAAATAATTGATCATCACTGATTTTCGAACTTGCCCAAAACATTGCTGATATAAACATATGATATAAGTTTCATAAAAATTTGTAAGGGTTCCGCGGAACCCAGTGTCTCGCCTACTTTTGCTGTTAATCGCAGGCTCAACAAAAATGAGGAAAAAAAATAATAACAATATTACTTTCGATACAATCTTTTGATTGTAAGAAGCTTCTGTCCCAATTTGGTAAAAATCCAGGATAGTTTATGAATCTAATAAATGTTTTAAATCTTTAACTGCAGACTGTATGTAATGTTAACTGGAAGAAAAACTAAGTCCATTTATAAGTAAAATACTGATAAACAGGTACAAAATTTTAAAAAATTTCCTTCAAGATACTAGCTTTTGATCATAAACAAGCTTCTAACCAAGTTTGGTACAAATCCAGGATAGTTTATGAAAGTTATTAAAATTTTAAAAACTTTAACCACAGAGTGAATGTAATGTTAACTGGCAGAAAAACTAAGTCCATTTATAAGTTAAATACGGAAAAAATGGAATTTTGTTTTTTACATATTTACTTCTGGATACTATCTTATGATCATAAACAAGCTTCTGTCCAAGTTTGGTAGAAATCCAGGATAGTTTAAGAAAGTTATTAAAATTTTAAAAACTTTAACCACAGAGTGAATGTCATGTTAACTGGCAGAAAAACTAAGTCCATTTAGAAAATACAGAAAAACAGGATTTTTTTTTTTACAAAATTTACTTCTGGATACTATCTTATGATCATAAACAAGCTTCTGTCCAAGTTTGGTAGAAATCCAGGATAGTTTAAGAAAGTTATTAAAATTTCAAAAACTTTAACCACAGAGTGAATATTTGTGGACGCCGCCGACGGAATGTAGGAACGCTATGTCTCGCTTTTTCGACAAAAGTCGAAGGCTCGACAAAAATCTGGCAAGAATTGTACATTTGAGAGCGTTAACAAGACCGGTTGGACAGATGGACCCCCGGTATTTCTATGTCCCCAACAATGCGTTGCGAGGGGAACAATAAGGATCTTCTTCCCTTTAATGAGCCTATATATTCAAATAAGGTTGTAATCCAATAAAAAATATTTGATTAAACATGTTGAAACAACTTTTCTGGACCAATTGCATTCTATTTTTAGTAACTATGACTCTGACCTTTGATGTAGTTACCTTAAAATCAATTGGGGTCTTCCTTTTATTATATATGACCACATACATGTATCCAAGTAAGGTTGCAATCTGATACAAAATACAGCATTTGATTAAGTATTCAGAAACATTGTGGTCATTTCTTAGTGACTTTGACGTTAAAAGAAGTGATCTCAAAATCAAAAGGCATCTTCCTCTCATTATATGTGATTCAAGTATGGCTGTAGTCTGATATAAAGTATTGGAGTTAGTAATCGGGAATGGAAATGACAGATTAACTGCAAAATTGTAAAAACTATATACCCCCAGAGGCCCA